CGTGCGCTCACCAGACAGACAGAGACAGAGAGACAGAAAGTGAGAAATCACCCACCAGAGGGGATGGCCACGCCGTAATCCCTTCTCCTCTGTTCTACTCTCAGGACCTTGGGCACACACGCACATGCGCCCAGCATGAATTTAAGCCACCAGGTCCAGGACGTGAACCGCGGTCCACTACGTGGGAGTCCGGTGAAACAGCCATTATGCTAACTGCTGGTCCCAGAGAACTAGAAAAGCTAGACATTTTGAGGTGTGCTCTATCACTGTATCATTAAAATACGCATTAATCTCTAATAAGAGTATTACAGTACCCATCTATGTCAGCAATAATAAAAAGTATTTAATTGCTAAATGACATAATCTTTTCCCCTGAATTCTTGGGGGGAAAAATCAACATAGCTTGGCCTAGCCTCAGTGCAACATAGTGACACAAAACTGAGAAAGGGGAGTATGAGGCAGAGAAAGACAGTATAAAGCAGGACAGAATAAGCAAGTGTCCCCATAGTAGGGACAGTCTTCTTTGGGTTCTGTGACTCAATTACAGCACAATCTCTTCATTATCCCAACTTCCTATTAATTAAGGCTTTCTTTCTCTCTTGAGTCCAGTGATTCTCCCTTAGTGACGCTCAAGCCTGTAGCATAAACTCTGTATGCGTCAGGTTTTGGTGTGTTTACCAGAGACCACAATACAAAGAAGTCCCAAGTCAGCAGCAACAGCCAAGGTGAGACCCCTTGAGTGCTAGGCTCACTGACTCAGCCTTTAATCCCCTTGTTCCACTCTGCCTCAAACAAAACAAGCCCACTGGACACAGAACTCACATGTCTTCACAGTAAGGAAGACAACAGGACTCCTCCAATAATTTGGTAGTTGATTGAATAGGACTTTTGCATTTTGTGCCCCACTCTATCTGTGCCAGTATTTTAGTTTCAGAATCTTGTTTGGGGTTTTCAAAAAAAGAGCTACCAGACCAGTAAATGCACAAATGCCAAATGTGGTTGGTGTTCAATTGATTCTCTCCAATTTTGTGTAAAATGATGAGTGAAATACAGGTAAAATGGGCTTTGTACTTGTTTGCATGTTAACGTAAGATTTTGCTCAAACATCTGCCATCCCTATACTGTTGCAGAAATGACTGACTCTAGGTCCATAGCCTCTTCAAAGGTCAAACTAGTGGCCCAGGCTTCCCTTTGACTCCCTATGCCTCCCCTCCCTGGGCAGCAAAACTCTAATCCCTCACCTACATCCTAAATGTTTCCTCCTATGTGTAGGTAATCACTTGTCATATCTCCCCGTCCCAACAAATGACTTTTGATTTGTTCAAGCTCAGAACAAATGAAAAAAAAAAAAAAATAGAAAAACAGCAGTTTCATTTTAACTTTTTATTACAATGCTTAGGATACAGATCAACTTTCTTCTGTAAAGGACTGTTTTGCTTTTCCTGAAATAGGACATATATGCACTCTGATGAAACAGAATAAAAAGTCTCAGTTGGTGAGAGTGCCTGTACAAAACTCTGATCCTCTCTGTATGGAGCTGAGCTCCTCCCAGCAGCTTCTCAGCAATCTTATTATAGGAATGGTGTCCTGTGGGGCAAGAAATAGACTGGTACTACTTGGCTTTTCAACGCCCTCTTTCTCCGGTGGCCAAAATAAACCACTTTCACAAAGAGTTGCCCTATATAGCACCCACAGTTTTCAGGTTGCCTCAAATTGCTTAGGGACAAACAGAAAAAAAAAAAAAAAGAAAGAAAACTAACACTGAAGCAATCATACTTCTCACGTCTCTGCATAGAGAAGTATGGGTAACCTCTAGCCAAAGGAAATAAAAACTCTGCAAATTAACTACCTAATTAGTTCACCGCTAGCTAGGTTTGTTCACTTAAGGCTATAACCCCTTTCCAAACCAGTAATTAATCGAGCTATGCTTGCTTATAAATGAAATGCACGTACTTCCCAGACTTAAACTTTACTGAATCTCTGCTTTTGGTACCTGGCAGTGAAAAAGTATGCTTTCCCAAAGGTCAGTACAGAAAACTAAGAATGAGGATCTAACTCAAGAATGACTGTCTCTCACCCCAAGGATGTGTTATCCAACACTTTCTCTACCCTCACTTTAGAACAAGGGACCCACTGACTTCAGATCAGTCACCTGCAAGGAAGCATCATCATCACAATTTTCAAGGTTGAGGAAATTTATAGTTTCCTTTTATTAAAGGAACAAACGGATAAAGATATCCTCTCATCTCAAAGCCATCTCCTATATCCTTTTATCTCTTCCTGCAAAGGTAGAATGTAAGTTAAGATCATAAAAATCCAATTTCCCACATGGCACTACGAAAATGGAATGCTATAAAAATGATCCTGACCACCTTGTTGGGGATGCTGATGCTTTTACTCTGCTGCCTCCAAACAAACAGCTCTACAGAAGGGTCTTGGGTTAGTGTTTCTCCTAGCTTAATTCTGGGATGGGAAAAAGGCAATGCCACATTAAAAAAATCTATAAAAGCTATAGATGTTAACCTTTAACCATCAACAAAATAGATAACTGATAAGGAGAAAAGATTTAAGAAAAAGACAGAGCTTCATCAACAGCCCAATAGAGATCAAATTCTCCAAATGGAAATTTTAAAACCCAGTGACTAAATCTTTTGTAGATTCCAACATGTGCTCTAATATCAGAGTTTTAGGCCCTCAACTCACAGAATTAAGAGCCATTAAGCTGTTAATTTTGTACTGTTGTCCTATTCAGAAAATCTTCTCCCAGAATCTGTGCAAAAGGGGCTGAGACACACCTGCAGCATGCGACAACATGGCAGATGTTCTCAACTCTTTTAATGAGGCGAAAGTCACATTTTATAACTGAGAAAGGTACAACAGAGAGAAATGAAATTTCACAACCGTATAAAAGCAAAGACCGACTGATATTTGCAACTGTAAGTAAAAATAATAACGATCACCCATCTACAATGAATTCCTCCATAGTGAACAATCTGCTGCATTCCATGATGAGGAAGGACCCCAGCACACCACAGTGGAAACCTGCCGCAGCTGCAAGGCCAGGTTCTGACCCTTTTCTGGTCTCTGTGCACGAGTGATGTCACCTATCACAAGGCAGCTACAGAGACAGAGGAGCTCAGAGGAGCTTGTCTCATCAACCAGCTAACTTGGGAAGAGTAAGCTCAACCAGCTGAGCTCTGGCTTCCAACGTTTATCTGCTCATAATATTATAAAGTATCTAAATGCCATTCACTAATTAAAAAAAAAAAAAAAGAAAGAATAGTAAACTCTGGACCAAGTAAATTGTGAACTCAAAAAGTTAGGAGGGATACCAATTACATTAACACTTTCTTTAAAAAATAGAATCACTTTCTTTTGAAATCAACCACAGTGGTGAGACGTGTTTTTCTTTTCAGGTGCCCCAGAATGGCACACAGCTTTACGTGGCAAATCCTGCCAGCTTCCAAGTCCCCAGATACTGACCTGCACCAGCACGTGGGGCAGCGTTACCTCCCAACAGTGTGAAGAGCACATGTCACCACTGGGTGAATGAGAGCTGACAAGGACTCTTGGCTTGACTCTCAACGCCAGACATGGTTGGAGAGCTTTCCTTGTTCTATTAGAAAAGTTCATGATGAAGCTGTGAATAGGATCAGTCCAGAGAAGTAAAACTCTTTTATTTTCACTGTCCAAACATCAGTCAATATACTGGGAAAGCCAGCGGAAACCCTCGCCGTAGCCTTGTCTCTTGAGCACACTGCACATGAACACTTCCATGGGGCGGGCGTTCAGCTCCTTCAGGGTCACATTCCCCTAAGAGAGGCAAGACCAAGAAAGACCTGTTAACATCTCCATGATAAAAATGCTTAAAAGGGTGACCGCTAAAATCAGTGTCTCCATTCCTTAAAAGCAAATCTAAGTATCTATTAATTACAGAAATGCGGTCAAGGTCGCAGAGATGACTTCCCTAGGGTTTCTCGCTTTCAGGATAGAATACATAGCACAGTTCTACTCCCAGCCTCTCTCTCTCTCTGAAGGGCATTTACTATGAACAGCCAACATCCATCTCACAGTGGTTATGGTAGCAGACCAAGAAAAAAGCCACTGGGACCCATAGAACCAGCATGTTCTTCTACAGATAAGAGAGATTTGGGATGGCTTAGAAACAAGATATTCTTTGGGGCCTGCAGGTGACATGGTGGTTAAGGGCACTGGACTCCCACATGGCTGACCATGGTTCAGGTCTCAGACCTGGCGACTTGCCTCCTCTCTCTTTCTCTCTCTCACTCTGTTCCTCTCTAATCAAATTAAAATAAAATAAAGTTAAATAACATAATTCTTAAAAAAAAAAGAAAAAAAGAAAGAAAGAAACAAGGCATTCTGATTAACCAAAGCATTCAGAAATAAACATGGATAATAGGTTGCATGGAGGTTATTAAGAAGAATTCATGTGTACTTATGACACATGCAGATTATGAGAAACTAAATGAACTCAAAGGAGCACTTCTACAAAGAAAAAGACAGCCATGAAAAGGCAAAACTAAGGAACTATGTAAGAGTTAAATTATCATAGATCACAGAAAGGGAAATTAAAAAAAGAAAAAAAGTTAAAATCCAAAGTCGAGGGTGGGGCCAGCATTTGGCATTGTGGTTAAGGGCATTGGATTCCCACATGACCAACCATGGTTTGAGTGCCGGAACTGGTGGCTTTCTTTTTCTCTCTCTCTCTCGCTCTCGTCAAATTAAAATAAATAAATAAAATTCGAATAAAATAATTCTTAAAAAAAAAAAAAACAATCCAAAGTCAAGGGAGATCAGCAGATGGCATAATGGTTATGTTGCTGGACTCCCACATGGTCAACTGTGGTTGGCTTTATCTCCTTGTTTAAGAATAGATTTTGTGTATTTTGGTGGACCCTCACCCTTAGTCTCTTCGGATTTGGTTTCTTTGGGCTTATAAGCTTCATATTTTTCACTTCCTCAGATATTTTACTTATACTTTCAGTACCCTTGAAACACTTGCTTTCAAAAAGATGGTTATAGGCTATAATCAAATGGTCCTTGTTAGCTGTCTTGGTGACATTTTTAATGTTTCCTAGTAATTTATGTTCTACAAGAAATGAATCTGAAACGTGTTCCTGCAGAAACTTGAAAATGTCCTTCTTGGGCAACTGCTCATTGCTCCACAGTCCACACCCGCTGTAGAGTACCAGCCACCATCTTCCACCACTGCTGCTTCTTTACTCATAAGCCTGATCCTTTTTCTTTTACTTTTCTTTCTTAAAAAGAGAATTATTTATTTAATTTTATTTATTTATTTTTATTTTTTAAAAATTTGCTATAGGGCACATGTGCTCACCAGAGAAAGACAGAAAGAAGTTAAGTGAGAAAGCAAGCCTCTAGGTCTGGGACTTATAATGTGGTCAGCCATGTGGGAATTTAGCGCCTCAATCACTGTGCCACCTGCTGGCCCCTTCTTTTTTCTTTTTGGTGCTGAGGGCAGGAGAAAGAGAGGAGAGAGAGAGAGAGAGAGAGAGAGAGAGAGAGGGAGGGAGAGAGGGGAGAAAGCACATCCCCTCCATGGGGAATGGTCACACTGCAATTTCTTCTCCATCTCTCCTTCCTTTTGGGATTTTGGGCATACACACACATGTCCAGTTATGTTTCTCAAGACACTGGGTCCAAGATTCAAACCACAGAATTGGCCAAGGGGGATCTGGCTGCCTTAATCACCAAACCATAGAACCAACCCATGCTTGATTTTCTATCAGTATAATCAAGTCCGCCTACCAAATGGATATAATGGGTTGTCAAAAAGTCATGATGCATTTTTGCATAGAAAAATACGCCATGACTTTTTATGTTCCAATAGTATAAACTACCGATAGGAAAGACTGGAGTTGTATTTCTGGCTTTATCACTAGTTTCCTTGGTAGACCTGGACAAATCACTTTCAGTTTCATCATCTGCCAATGGGCCTAACAGTCCTACCTCTTCTCAGAAGGTGTACTGATGGGGGACCAGCAAGTGACATGGTGGTTAGGGTGCTAGAAACTCCCACATGGCTGACCATAGTTCGAGTCCCAGACCTGGTGGCTTGCCTCCTCACTTCCTCTCTTTCTGTGTCCCTCTCTGGTCAAATTAAAAAATTCATGAATGAATAAATAAAATAAAATAGAGTAATTCTTTCTTTTTTTAAAGAATTATTTCTGTTTGTTTATTTATTTTAGTTTGACCAGAGAGGAAAGAGGGAGACAGAGGGAAAGTGAGAAAGCAAGCCTCCAGGTCTGGGACACAAACTGCAGTTGGCCCTGTGGGAGTCCAGTGCCCTTAACCACCACGCCACCTGCCGGCCCCAGATAAAGTAATTCTTTTAAAAACAAAAAAAAAAGAAGAAGGTGTACTGATGAAACTCAGGTTCTTTGATATTGATGCTTGGAAAGTAATATAATTATTCTTCATTAAAAAATTTATATATAAAATACCCATAATGAAAAAAAAATCCTAAGTCTGTTCAAGCTTTTGAAAGACAAAGAGAATCTAGATGGCAAAACATTCATGTTTCAAAAGGTGTGGATGTCCTTTGTATGATCCCTGAAGATTTTTCTCTTACCTTTCCTGTGGTCTGTCCATAAAGCCCAAATATCTCTCGGAGTTTTTCTTCACTGATTGCATCTGTTCTGTCAATTTTGTTACCCAAAATAAGGATTGGCACATTGGATATTGTTTCATCAGTCATTAAAGCCTAAAGACAAGATGAAACAAAAAGAGAAGTAAGAAATCCATAAAACCCCATCCCATAAATGAAAACTTTGATTTTCACTGATTTTATAAGGCATTAAATGTGAAGTGAAAATGTGAACTCTCTATCTCATTAAAGGTTCAGCTTCACATTATAGAATAGCCCTGACATTATGTAAAAGTCTCCTGAGTCAAAACAATTTGTGAATGAAGGTTATTTACAAGGCATCAGAACTGCTTCAACCTCTACTTTGAGTTAATTTGCTCAGCCACAGATTATTTTCAGAATACCCACTCTGCCCAGCCCTAGAAGGATGAATGGCCTGCCTATAGAGCCAAAGACAACAGTAGGAACTCCCTACCCACTCACTGAATGCCTGATGTGTGCAAAACGTTCTCTCAGGCACTGAAAGAGACACAAAGGAAGGACAAGACAAATCCCTATCCTAAAGAAATCCTCTCTGTTCATATTTATGTTGCCGAAGTTGCGTAAGAACACAACACAGAGGATGACTAAGTGTTACGATGAATGGGGACAGAATATTAATATTAAAACAAATTCAGGGAAATAAAATAGCAATTTTAGGCTTGAAAAAAGTCTTAGCAAAAATATGAAACCTAAGTTGGGCTCTAAAGGAAAGACAAATTTTCGACAGTTAGAAAGAAGAGTGTAAGTAATGGTTTTACAGCAGAGTAAGGCTCAGGAAGCCATGTGGAGTAATGTGTGGCTAGATAGCATTTATATGGACAAAAGTGACAAGAGTAAAAGGGACAGGAAAAGATGACCCACATTATGGTACCAGTCTGAGAAGCAGGCTACAGTAGATGCTAAAGACTACAAATCCAGAAGTTAGTAAATAAAATCTATACATTCAATAAAACGAATTCATAAATAGTATCTGTTACGCTCATATAAGGAAGAGAGGATGATCTAGCTTAAGATAGCATTTAATGAATAGTGCAGGAAGCACTATGGAAAAAGTAAGGAGACTAATGTCTAAATGATAACACAGACAAAAAAGGAGAGAAACATGCTTTGATCATCTTGAATTCCAGGAAATTTGAGATCAGGGTAAGGAAGTCATTCATTCATTAAGCACAGACAAAGTGTCTACTACACGTCTGATGGGTGTAGGTATTTCACAGAAGAGACAGACAAGATCCCTACCATGGAAGTTCATAGCCTGGTGGGAGACACCTATAAGAAAATCAGTAAAGACAACAGGCACTGGTGGGGTGTCTAATACAGACTGAGAGGTCAGGGAAGTGGTCATAACTAAATTCCAAGAATTCTTAAAAGACATTTTAAAATTTATCAACAAAAGCCCAAGAGAGGGAAACAGATGAGGAAGCCTGGTAGAGATAGCTACTTGTCCATATTCAAGGCAAGACAAGTTGTGTTCTTATGTTTGGAATGTAGTTCAAGGTAGGCAGTAGAAAGAAAGGCAACTGAAGAAACAAACAGAAAGAGGGGGCCGGTAGGTGGTGTGGTGGTTAAGGGCACTTGATTCCCAAATGGCTGACAGTAGTTGAGTCCCGGATCTGAGGGCTTGCTTTCTCACCTTCTCTCTCTTGCACTCTGTCTCCTACTCTGTCCCTCTCTGGTCAAATTAAAATATATAAATAAAGTTTAATAAAATAATTTTTTTCAAAGAATTACTTTTTTTTTTTTTTAAATTTGGTCAGAGAGGGAGGGACAGAGTGAGAGAGAGAGAGACGGGTGTGTGTGTGTGTGTGGGGGGGAGTGGGAAAGCAAGCTGCTAGTCTGGGACTCGAACCATGGTTGGCCATGTGGGAATCCAGCACACTGTAACGACCACACCACCTGCTGGTCTCAAATAAAATAATTCTTAAAAATAAAAAAGAAACAGGGAGAATCACGAAAGATCTTATGAACTATGCAAAATATTTGTGAATTTTATTCTGAAAATGATAGATAACTTTATTTATTATTATTATTTTTTAGGTTTTTGCTATAGGGTGCATGCACTTGCTGGAGAGAAAAAGAGGGAAAGTGAGAAATCACCCCCCCCGGGGGGGTGGCCACATCGCAACCCCTTTTCCTCCACTCTCCTCTCAGTGTTTTGGACCTGGGTGCTGGGTTCAGGATTTCAAACCATGACAGGCCATGGGAGTCCAGTCCCTTAACCACCATACCACCTGCTATTCCTGACAGAGAACTACTAAAGGATATTAAGTGGGACAAGTCTGAGAAAGTTCTTTCTAACATTAATCATGCATGGCAAGGTGGTGGTGAAATCTACAGTAAATCTACAGAAGTCCAGATTTCTAGACTTCCAAGTCCAGGTAAGTGGTGGGAGAGGATCAACAGTTCCATTCTGAGAAAACAGAATGAGAAGGTGGAGCTGTCAGCAGGGGTCCATTTGTAAGTCACTGCCATGTGGGCTGTAGGTATAAGAATGGGACTATATGGGAATGGCCTGGAAGAAGTACAGACTCTGGAGAACATAAACATTTAAGGGCTAAGCAGAAGAATAGGTGTTTGTGAAAAACACTGTGAAGCATGAGTCAGAGCGCAACAAACCAAGAGTATAAAGAGAAGTTTAAACAAAGAGAGAACAGCCAGTGCCTACAGGTCAAGTAAGGCAAGGACTACACTGTAGGCAATTCTATATGAGACTAGAGCTATGGAATTAAGAAAGATACACATAAACTCGAGATATTCAAATTGCCAAGAACAAGAATGCAGGGAGATGGTTAGAGGTCAAAGAGAAAGAAGGGATATAGGATGAAGGAATAGGGTTTAAAAAGGCAACATTATAGAAATCACCAAACTAAGAAAATGCCATGTTGACAAAGGAGAAAACCTGAAGTGAGTCCTTGATTATATCTAAGGATGCATGTGACCAAAACTGAAGGTTGAGAACAGACTATTAAGGTCTGGCAAGCCATTTAGTGAAGGTGGGTAGGAACAATCTGAGAATGAAGATTCAAAAACATAAGAAACTACCTCTTTGGGGGTTCCACAGTAACAGCGCTACATCAAGAATGACCATACATGACACACAAAGGGAATAATATTACACTAGGACAATAGGCATAAACTAAAAAGCATCCTGGGCAAAATGTGCCATACGGTCAATATAAACAATGAGGATAATTTATTTAAGTTCAAGCTAAGTTTCCTTAGAACACAGGAAAGCAATGTCTTATATTTTAAAACTTTTTCTCCTGTGACTCGAACTTTCACCAAATGTTAACCAGAATAATTAAATACAGGTGGTCCCTGATTTATGACTCATATTATGATTTTTCAACTTTACAATGGTATGAAAGTGACACACATCCAGTGGAAACCACACTTTGAATTTTGAGATAGCTAATGCTTTACAGGCTTTGTGTCAGATGATTTAGTACAACTGTAGGCTAATGTGAATGTTCTGAGCACATTTAATATCAGCTAGGCCAAGCTATGTTTAGGAGATTATGTGCATTAAATAAGTTTTTGACTTCAGATATTTTCAACTTGCAATGGGTTTCGTCAAGATGTGACCTCTCATCTGTAATGGGACTACTGAGGCGTGTTGCTTAAAAGACAAAGACGTCAAGAAAAGAAAAAATATACATAAACATACATTAAGTTCAACTTTGGATTCCATGAGGCGAGAGTGATCTGCACAGTCCACCAGAAAGACAATCCCATTAATTGCTGGGAGATAATTTTTCCAAACCCGACGTGCTAAAAGACAAAGCATGCAGTTATATCAATAAAAAATAAATAAAATAAAAAGCACACATCAATTTTGAAAATGAATAACCTAATGATGTATAAAATGATGCAAATCTTGGCCAAGTTTCCATAATATCAGGCTCTCAATGGATTCTCCAATTCCTGCTCAGTATTAATTCAGAAGAGCATATACAAATCAATGGACGATAAGTTAAATAGAGAATCTAAGTTTTTGCCTTTCTTGAACATCTGTAACATCTGGCAATCCCATGCCTACCTACCTACATGCTAATAATTGGCCGGAAATGAATGGTGGCTGCCCTGTAAAATGAGGACTGAAGGTAGCCGTGGTCACACAGAGGTAACACAACACTCTGTGATGCTGAGGCCACATGAGAAGGTTCCGGAAGTCTCCCTGCACACAGCAAGTCAGCTGAGGCTGGAGGTAGGATTGCTGGGATGGGAGCTTATCAGAATGCCTCTCTCTCTCTCTCTCTCTCTCTCTATCTATCTCATGAATGAATAAACTTTGAAAAAATAAGACAGTGAAAGAGAGAACAGAGCTCTCTTCAGTTTGCTAAAATTTCTCCCATTCCCTACTAACTCACAGTCAGTTTTACTTACTTTAAATAAGTAAAGTAAGTAGGCCACAGCCCTAAAGCCAAACTAGTTTTGTTTAGTTTTTAATGTACTTTAATTTTACAATTTCCTACTAACATTTGTTGAATATCTTTATGGCATAGAATGCATTCTTTCAAACTGAAACCCAGAGTTTCAAACATCCCTCCCATACACACAAGTATCTACTCTCCTCCTCTCTACTTTTGTTTTTGAATCTTTCAATTTCTGCCACTAAGTGCAAAATATACTCAGTATATCTTGAGTAAGAACACATAGTGTCTTTGTCTTTCATAGTCTGACTTTCTTCACTTAGCATTAAATCGTCTGTAATTGTCCACTTTGAACTGAATGAAAGTCTTGCTGTTCTTTATGGCTGAGCAGTATTCCATAGTGCATATGTGCCACATTTTTAAAATTCAGTCTTTAGCTACTGGGCACTTAGGTTGATTTCATGTCTTACCTATTGAGAATAATGCTGCAATAAACTTAGATGTGCAAGTGTCTCTTTGAGTAATTTCTGTCCTTTAGATAAATAAATACCCAAGAGTGGGATTAGTGGGTCATATGGTATTTCGATTTGTAAATTTTCGAGGAACCTCTATATTGCTTTCCACAGAGGCTGTACTAGTTTACATTCCCACCAACAGTATGGGAAGGTTCCCTTTTCACTACAGCCTCACCAGCACTTGTTCCTTTTTGTCTTTTATTTTTTATTTTTTTGGATCATATTCAACTTGACTGAGATTAGGTGATAACCTTGTTGTGGTTTTGATTTGCATTTCCCTTATGATAGAAGACACTGAACATTTTTCCATATGCTTCTTGGTGATTCACATGTCTTCCTTTGAGAGTTCTCTGTTCAGCTCATTTGCCCATTTTTAAATTTGATTATTCATTTTTCAGCAGGTGAGCTGCTTGAGTTCCCTGTATATTCTGATTATCAATCCTTAATCTTGAGCATAGTTTCTAAATATTTTCTCCCATTTTGTGGGCTGTCTCTTCACTCTATTTAGGAGCTGACTTAGTTTTATTTGTCCATATAACTTAAATGCCAAATTAGTTCGTACCTATCATGTGTGTGTACTGACACACTCAACCACTCAGCCCTAAGAAGAACTGGGCCTTACTAGTGGTTGAAATCCCCAGGCTAGTTATCTCAGCATCCCATATTTAACCCTACATCATTAATTAATTAATTGTGAGAGACAGGGACTGAGACTTTAAGTGATAAAGGTTAGGAAATAGTGCTTTAATAGTATTATAATTCCTAAACCATTCGTTTCTAGTCCTGGCAATGGAATGAATGAGAAAGCATCTCTATATAATGGTTATACTTCTGAAGAATAGGACTGGGAAGAAGAGGTTGGGGAACTTTCAGTTTTGTATGTTTGTTTTCAAAATGAGAGACTAGGCAAACAGGAAGAGTAGGAAAGAGGGAGAGAGAGAGAGGTATTTTTGATAGGATCTGCTATCAAAATCAGTCTCCCAGTTAGCTCAAATAATAGGCATGCTGCCATGCCAGGCCTGTACAAGTAGGTCCAGAATCCAAGCTGGGTCTCCCATTTTCCCAGCTTCAAGCAGTGGTCCCCTACGGCTGTGTCACTGCACTTTTTTTTTTTTTTTAAGACAGGGTCTCATTATATCACAGTATTCCTGCTTAGACCTCCTGAATAGCTGGGATGACAAATATACACCTTTATGCCTAGCTTTAGGCTGGGCCAGCATCAAACCCAGGCCTCCATGTGGCCTCAGCTTACCAAGTAGTAACATCTACCAGTATGTGCTAACATGGCTGGGCACTTTCACTTTTATTTTCTGCATTTCTATACGGACTATTCCATTAAGATTTCAAAATTATACAAACAAAAAAGGAAACCTCCAGATGAATAGCATTTTAGTAACTGCTATAAAATGGTGGCTAAGTTATCATGAAGTGTTTCTGTTAAGTAAACTTTCTTCAGTCAAATAAACAAAATGAAGCAATATACACCAGTAAATTTCTCTCCTAACTTTAACAGAAGTTGAAAACTAAATTCATCACATCAGATAATCTATAATTCTGAGTTTAGGTATGTAAAAACATCTGGTTTCTATTCCTTCTGCATTCTCCAGATGGTTCAGTTCAGTCTTATCTTGCTTTAAATTTAAATGTGTAAAATTTACAATGATAAATCCTTTTTTGGAAGAAGAGATATCACATACCCATTCCTACCCAAATGAAAATAATACAAGCTCACTATAGAAAAAAAGAAAACAAGATCATTTATAATCCCTCTATCAAAACAAACCCCAGGTAATGTTTTGGTATATTTTCTTTCAATCTTTGTTCTGTACAGGTATTTTACATGATTGTAATCATATGTATATATTTTTCAGGATACGAATAGTAAATGAATAAAATAAATTTAAGTGTGTTAATTAAATCATCAACTATAAAACTATTGGGCTGAACAATTAACAATATACTGGGGCTGGTAGGTGGCATGGTGGCTAAGGGTGCTGGACTCCCATATGGCCGACCACAGTTCAAGTCCCAGACCTGGTTGCTTGCTTTTTCACTTTCTCTCTCTCTCTCTCTCTCTCGTTCACTCTCTGATCAAATTTAAATAAATAAAAAAAATTAAGTTAATAAAATAATTCTTTAAAAAAGTGAACAATATACTATTTTACAGATCATACTTTAAAAAAACATTAGGTTCAACCTATTATCATGCTACATATAAGATTTCTCAATTTAATAACAACTGAGTAAATCTTGCAGAATCTCAATAGTTTATTTTTCTCTACCTTCCTAGAATATTTATTCTCACATCTTTTTTTCTGGAGAGATGTTTTGCTATAGGGCACGTGCACTCACCAGAAAGACAGAGAGAGACAGAGAGACAGAAAACAAGAAATCATCCCCAGGCAAGATGGCCACGCCACAATCCCTTCTTCTCCATTCTCCCCTCGGGATCTTGGGCACACATGCACACGCACCCGGCGTGAGTTTAAGCCACCGGGTCCAGGACTCGAGCTGCGGTCGACTACACGGGAGTCCAATGGTATAGCCATTACGCCAACTGCTGGTCCCTATTCTCACATCTTAAATGTTTCACTCTACCTGTAGAGCTTTGCCATATGTAACCTAAATGTCTCTCAGATAAAGATGCCTATGCTGTGTATCTTTAAAACATATACAAGAAACCTAACAGGAATCTGAGAGCCCAACAGTCACAGCCTAAGGTAAAATGGGCTTGACAGCAGAAAGGTCAAAAAAAAAATTTCAACTGTCCCAAATGGGTAGAGTATACAAAATATCAATACAGATCAGATTAGTCACACATAGTCACTACATTATTTTTGCAACTTTTTGACAAGTATAAAATTACTTACAAATAATAAATTAACTGCCAGGGACCAGCAGTTAGCGTAATGGCTATGTCACTGAATTCCCATGTAGTCAACCACAGTTCAAGTCCCGGACCCGGTGGCTTAAACTCACGCTGGGCGCGTGTGCGTGCCCAGGATCCCGAGAGGAGAATGGAGGAGAAGGGATTGTGGCGTGGCCATCCCCCCTGGGTGGTGATTTCTCGCTTTCTGTCTCTCTGTCTCTTTCTGTCTGTCTGGCGAGCACACATGCCCTATAGCAAAAACTCTCCAAAAAAAAAAAAAGAAAAAATAATAAATTAACTGCCTATACTTAGACTCCATTAAATAAAGGATAGAAAAGAGCTCATTTTGCTTGATAACCAAATGTACCATGTGATCCTCTACCAGACCTGCCCAAGAAGAAAAAAATGCTATAAAAGATTACTAGGAAAACTGACAAAAAAGTAATATACACTATACTCTAGATAAAAATAAAACCTCCTGGGTTTGATAACTATTATAATTACATAAGGGAATATTCTTAGGAAGTGTGCACCTAACTAGCAAGGAGTAAAGGGGCATGATGTACTCACAAACAATTCATAAAAAAAGTTACTACTCGTATGTATTACAGAGAAAAGAGAAGACTAATATTTCTCAGTAAAACCTTTAAGTGAGTGGAATTCTCTGTACTGGTTACACAACTTTTAAAAGTTTGAAATTGCTTAAAAAAATAAATGAATAAAACAATTTCACTTAAGTAGTAAGACACCAATCCTAAATATAAGTAATTTTAAAGGAAAAATATCATGCTGCTTTAAAAAGGTGGGGAGAACACAAAAAAATGAGCTAGAAATAGACAGCCCGCTTCCACTGAGTCCTCTTACCTTGCTCATGCCCACCAAGGTCAAATGTCGTAAAAGTCATCCCAGCAATCGTCAGCTCTTCTGATGCTGAAAAATTGTCAAAAAAAGGACAGAAATAAACATCTCCACTGAAAGGCCCAACTAACCAACACTGTACAACACCAGTACAAAACTTAATAAAGTTTTCACCTTGTAAAGAGAAGGATACAAGGATGAAAATGTTCTTACACTAGTCAAAAAGCCAAGTTTCTTTTTCTCCTAAATGTTTTCTGTTTCTCAGAAGTAGGCAAAGAAGATATATTCTATTATAGGACCAGTGACAAAGTTCCTGAGCTTAGATCTGTGAGTATGTGACCTGAGTGTGTAGTACTTCAAAAAGTTGGAGGAAAGATAGAATTAAAGTACAAGTGTCTTTTAGTGCAACAAATTCTTAAAGTGTATGCATAGTTTTTTCATAATACACATTTTACATGAAATTTTGAAGCTCTCATATATGTCCTGTAGGGAATTTTTAAAACTGATTTGGCTCTTGGATCCTCAGTTAATAAAAGAACTGCATCAACTGGGGATTCATCCTCTACGCCTGACATTGACCTTCAAAGATCAAAAGGTCACTTCGCATTTTCAAACCTACTTGGATGTAGTGTTGGAACATGTTGGCCCAATCTGTCATCTTTGAGCATGTGAAGAAGAGTGGTTTTGCCTGCATTGTCCAAACCCAAAAATACAAGTTTTCCAGATTTCTTGTAGAGTCCTAAAGGAGAAGAAAAAAAATTCATGTAAATTTGCTCTCTGCATACCATTTTTTTTTAAGAAATGCACAAAGTTTGAAACACATAATACAGTTTAAGGAAATGGCTTTACCTAGGAACTGGAGCACACTGCTGAAGCCATTGTAGATCCACTCAAAGATGAAAGACATTATTAATGCTTACTACCTGTATAATATAGGAAAAGTAGTAAACATTAGCTTTTGAAATGGCAGTATGGTCCTGGAGAAATTAATTCTTATTGCCTATCCCTGATGCATGTTTATAATCCCATTTTTCTGGACATAAAAAAGCAAAGAGAAGACGCTAAACCAATAATTGCCCCTCCCCTTTTTTTTGGTCATAGGGCATGTGCATTCACAGGAGACAGACAGAGAAAATGGTCATGCCATAATCCCTTCTCCTCCATTTTATTTTCAGGATTTTGGGTACACATGCAAATGTGCCCAGCATGATTTTCAAGCCGCCGAGTCTGGAACTTGAACTGCTATTGTGGAAGTCCAGCGCCTTAACCACCATACCACCTGCTGGCCCCATTTCCTTCCCCTTGAGACTTTAGAATTTTGAACCCTGAAGGGAAGACTCGAAGATCCTCATCTCTGCACAAACTCCTGGTTTCCTATTTTCAATCTATGATCCTTGGAGAACTAGGAATTAAAGATACATATCCCTCTTTTACTATCTGACTCACTCCAGAAGACAGCTATTCATTCACCCACATTCCCTATCTACACTACTACAGTCTACCACTTAGCAAGACCTCAAGGAAATCAATCTCATCAATCTGGATTGGCTCAGCCTTGGTAGCACAGACGAAATACTGAACTGCAGTGCTAGAAGCCACATAGCCAACCACAGGCTTGGACCCCAGAGTCAGCCTGAAAAGATGCTGGGCACACATGTCCAAGAACCCAAATAAGCTAGAAAGCTGGGAGAAGAGGATCATGGCATAACAAAATTCTGTGAAGGGTACTTCTCTTTCATGTATGCGCGCATGCACACACACACAATCATGACTAAAAATAATAATATTCTGGATCATAAGATTACACAAATGTATGAAGTAGAAAATAAGAATGAGAGCATAGTAAATTGAATGAAAAACTTTATAACCTTTGTCTGTAAACACCTCTAAAAAGCAAAGTCACCCATAATCATACTGGTTTACACAGTGGCCCTACTTCCCATTACCAATGTTCTCTATTCATTTTTTTTGATGATTATTTATTTCAATTTTATTTATTTATTTATTTTATTTGCTATAGAGCTGGGACCAGTAGATGGTGTAATGGTTATGTTGCTGGACTCCCCTGTAGTCGACCTATAGTTCAAGTCTTGGACCCAGTGGCTTAAATTCACGCTGGGTACATGTGTACGTGCTCAAGATCCCAAGAAGAGAATGGAGGACAAGGGACTGGGGCATGGCCATCTCCCATGGGGGGGAGGGGTGATTTCTCACTTTTGGTCTCTTTCTGTCTTTCTGGTGAGCGCACATTCTCTATAGCAAAAACCTCCCCCCCCCCAAAAAAAAAGAAACGAAAAAAAAATTTGTTATAGAGCATGTACACTAACCAGACAGAGAGAGAGAGAAAGCAACCCACCAGGTCTGGGACTTGAATCAGGGTTGGCCATGTGGGAGTCTAGTGCCTTAACCACCAAGCCACCTGGTGGCCCCAATGTTGTCTATTTTTAAACAATACTTGTTTAACCACCTTTGCAGATGTCTCAACTTATTAAAAAAAAAAAAGATGATATCACAGTATTTTAGAGAACCATAAAAACATAAGAAGAGTATCCTATCATAATATGAATAATCATCAAACTCAAAGCTATTCTACAAATAAGGATTTTCTTAAAATATCATTTAGGGAGGCCAGCAGGTGGCATGGTGATTAAGGCACTGGACTCCCACATGGCTGACTACAGTTCAAGTTCCAGACCTGGCAGCTTTCTGTCTCTCTCTCTCTCTGTCTCTCTGGTGAGCACTAATAATAATTAATAAAACTGAATAAATAATTCAAAAAATATATATAATTTAGGATATAGCAGTAGGCTCCTAAACAAGTACATATCTCAAGTACCAATTTTTAAAATTTTATTTCTTTATTTTATTACTAATATTATTCAGCAAGACAGAGAGAGAAAGTGAGAGAGAAGGCAAGCTGCCAGGTCTGAGACTCAAACCACAGTCAGCCATGTGGGAGTTCAGCACCTTAGCCACCATGCCACCTGCTGGTCCCAATAAGTACTAATATTAACACCACTTTTTCCATTTCCCACAGGTCTAGACATAACAATGACCCAAAGCTACTACAAATTTATATATATTACTGTAGTAATAACAAGAGGACCGCTGGATAAGTTAAGAGAAGAGATCCAGAGAAATCAGTAGCTCAAAGGTTTCTAAGAATAAGCATTTTCTGGGACCAGCAGTTAGTGTAAAGGCTATGTCGCTGGACTCCCACATAGTCGATCGCAGTTCAAGTCCTGGACCCAGCGACTTAAACTCACACCGGGCATGTGTGCGTGCGTGCCCAAGATCCCAAGAGGAGAATGGTGGAGAAGGGATTATGGCATGGCCATCCCCCCTGGGGGGTGATTTCTTGCTTTCTATCTCTCTGTCTCTGTCTTTCAGGTGAGCGCACACGCCCTATAGCGAAAACCTCTCAAAAAAACAAACAAAAAAGAATAAGCATTTTCTGATCATACCAAATTCTTGCTTTGGTATCTTAGATTTGGTAGAGAAAAAAAATCGATCCTCACTTTATTTTTTTTTTTAAGTTTTGCTATAGGATGCATCTACTTGCCAAAGACAGAAAGAGAGGGAAAATGAGAAATCACCCTCCCCGGGGAGAGGGTAGATGGCTATGCTGTAATCTCTTCTTCCATTCTCTTCTTAGGATTTTGGGCACACACGTACATGTACACAGCATATTTCTCAAGCCACCGAACCCAGGACTCAAACCGCCATGTGGGATCCAGCCACCTTAACCATCATACTACCAGCTGGCCCCAGATTCTCATTTTTACTCTTCTTTATCAGCAGGAGTATCTGGACATAAGCCTTTAAACTAGATATGATTGGGCTGGCAGTTGGTGTGGTGGTTAAGAGCACTGGATTCCAACATGGCCAACTGAGGTTTAAGTCCCGGAAATGGCGGCTTGCTTTCTCACGTCCCTGGTTCTCCCTCTCCAGTCAAATTAAAATAAGTAAATAAATAGTTAAATAAAATTCTTTTTAAAAAATAGCTTAAACAATATATAACTAACAGCACTCAAAACTTTGATAAATAGTAGCCTGTATAAAAGGGTTACCCACAAAAAAATACCTAATATTCTGTTTTACAAATGTCAGAGTGTGTGTGTGCTCACCAGAGACATAAAGAGAGAGAGATCAAGGGGGAGATGGTGGTGGTCATGCTACAATCCCTTTCTCCCCCATTTCTCCACCCTGTAGGGATTTGGGTCATGTATGCATACAGGCCTGGCATGTTTTTCAAGCTAACAGAGCCAGGATTCAAACCATTAACCAGCTAGGCTACAGGGTAGGACACACACCCATATTCTTCATTCAAATCATAACTGATGAAGAGGAAACTGAAAAAAAGATAGTATCTTTTTTCCCTCTTCATCCAATTATAGGGTTCTGATCAGTAATAGTCAAATATAATTTGGCAGAAATAAATATATTATTTAGCACATTAAATAAGTTTTGTCTGAAAGCTTAGCCTAGACTTTGAGAAGTCCAGCAGCTTAAATATACTTACGATGCTCCTGGTGCTCCTGCGATGCTCCTTACCTTCAGAAGTAAGAGTGTGACTGCTTCCTGCCTCGTCCTAGATAGCTGTCCCTACATTTTTTGGTCTGATCGGAGAAGCATAGCTCATCTTTAGAGAGCACCCCTCATCAAGGTAACTTCTACTCTGATCACTACACCTAACATTTCCATATTCATAGGTACTACACTGGTTGGTAGTTAATACTTTTTAGACTCTCTTCAAAGTTATAACACCATTTTAGAAGTATTCTGTAGGGAGGACTAGGTGATAATGGCACTGTAAGGATATTTTCATCATAACAGAACTAATGCAATTTTTCTTTGACATCCCTGCTGCCATTTTTTTTTTTAAGGCAGAGTCTCACCGTGTCTGATCCTCCTGCCTCAGTCTCCCTGAGTTGCTGGGATTACAGGTGCATACCACTGTGCACAGGCTTTATGCTGAACCAGGAAACTGAATCCAGGCCTCTCCTGTTGCCCCAATCTATGCAGAGTCTTATAATATTGAGTTGTAGGGAAAGTCATGACAAATTTTTTACATAGAAAAATACAACTTTTCCAATGACCTAATAGTAGTGGTGCCACCATATTGGACCTGATCTCTTTTCTTTAAAAACCCAAGACCCAGGGGCAACAGATGGCATAGTGGTTAAGGCACTGGATCCCCACATGGCCAACTGCCGTTCAAGTCTCAGAACCAGTGGCTTGAAAATCATGTCGGACGTGTGTGCAAGGATGCCCAAAATCCTGAAAGGAGAATGGAGGAGAAGGGATTGGGGGATGGCCATCTCCGCGAGGGAGTGATTTCTCACTTTCCCTCTCACTATCTCTCCTCTGTCTCTCTCCAGCAAATGCATGTGCCCTATGGCAAAACCTTTTTTAAAAAGCCCAAGGCCCAGCACCAGTGGGCAGCTGATAGTGTACTGGACTGCAGTACTGGAAGCCAGTACTGGAAGCCATAGGGCTGACCAGTGGTTCAGTTCTTGGTCCCTGGCCAGGTTGACTTCAAATATGGGTGTGGGTACTCCAGATCCCGAGAACCTGGGGGCCTGGAGAAGGGGAACTGTAGCATGATGAGCTCCTGTTCAGGATGCTTTCTCTGTGTGCATATGTACATGCCATGTACTATCATGAATAAAAAGAAACTAAAACTTAAAAAGGAGAACCCTACAACTCTTCTCTCCAAATTAATCTATGAAGAGTACTTGAAACTCTTCTGGAAATGTTAAAAAAATAATAATAAAAATGCTTACTAGACCCAAATAGTTGGGTTGTATTGCTGCCCAAAGGTAAAGCACCAGCCTTGCTGATGGTTCCATTCTTGAGATTTTTAGGATTTGTTACCAATTCATCAGTTTTTAATTTATACTGTACCTGCATATGCATCTCATTTCCTCCTCATAACAAACCCTATCAGGCAGAGATGGAGGGTTGCATATGGCTCTGCTGAAGTTATGACTCAAGAACTTAAACCTTT